GGGTGGTGGTAGCTGTCCTGTCGCCCCGGGGTGCGCTCGGGACTGTGGCCCTGAGGGGGGTTTGGGGGCGGCGGCTCTGTGTGGGGAGGCTGTCGCCTTGCCGGGTGCTGCTCGTCCCGGCCTGGCCTGAGGGGAGGCGGTGGCTCCCGTCAGGGCGGGGACGGGGGGGGGGGGGTCCCCCGGGTCGGATGTTTCGGAGAAAAGCGGCTGCGCAGGTCTGGTTGAGGCGGTTGACGCTGTAACGCTTAGAGCTGGCCTTTAATGTCTTTTGTAGATTCACCCTACTGGGAAGCTTTTCGTGCTTTCGGATGGAGAAGGAAAACATACGACTGTGGAGCTGAGCGAACCTGTAAGTTGAGGAATACTTTGGAAATAACTTGGTGTTGCCTCTTGTGGATACCGGAGGTTTTGTCCCTTCTGAAACCTGTGCACGCCTTGCATGTATTGATCTTTTAGTGAGAAAAAAAAATTCCCTGGTTTCTTGCTTGTCCACTTACATTTCATTGTCTCTGCTTCTTACATCTTCCAGCTAACCTGTAGTCTTCTTCAGATCTGCCTTGGTCTTCATCAGTTTTCAGACGGTGTTGAGAGAGAACTCATTCCCTGTCAGACACATCCCCGTTTGGCTACTTTGGCTTAACTATTTGTTGTTCATAGTGTGATATATTTCACTACCTGCATTAGCTCTATTTCCTTTCACATTTTCGTCCCTTACTTTATTGCCTTTATGTTTATGTGCCTAACAGAATATTTTGTGAAGATAATCCAAAAAACCCCAAGAATATGATATTCTGAAGAGTCAAATTTTGAGTTGACATTTCTCTATGTTCTTAGAACACTTGTCATGGCATTGCAATAACCTTCACTATATTGAAGTTACTGAAGTTCTGCCTCTACCTCTTTCTTGAGATCATGAAAAGGTTTCCTGCCTTGGGTTCTTAAATCTTCAGATGTCAGCATCTGACCAACGATTCCACAACTTCCCATACCTGAGTAAATGGTTGAATTTCATAAATGCATAGCTGCATTTTTAGGCACTTCACAGTCTGTATTGGTGTGTAAGGGAGGAGAAACTGGTGTGCGCAGAAAAAACATGCCAGGTTCATCTCTCTGGTTTGCTGGATGTAAATGGAGGAACTTTTAGATTTGCTAATCAAAGTGCTTTCTAACTTTTTCTCACCTTTGTTTGCATGTGTGTGTAGTTCCTCCTTTCAACAGAGAAACACAAAATTATGGTGAGGGGAGAAAATCTATTGCCGTGTTGCAGGAAACTTGCTAGAAAGTTAAAAGTAAGAGATATTGGAACAATATTACTGAAATAGAACTGGAGTCTTAAAATTAGTATCTTAAAAATAAAACACGTTTGAGTTATATGATTTTGGAATAAGATAAAATGGGTAGCCTTTTTTTTCCCTTGTTCAACCAAGAGCTTTTGATTGTCAGTATCTTTGTATTCTGAAATCTTACTGACAGATTACTTAAGAAATCATTTCCGTTTATAACTCCTGAATCTGGAATACTGGAACAGCTCTCTGGCATGTGTGATACCTTGTTAGCTCTTACATAATTCTGTAATTTACTCAGGTTTGAATGCAGTGCATTAAAATCTAGATTCTTCTGCTCACTGTGTCCTAGATTAGTCTCTGTTCAGTGATTAAATGACATGGTTTTATATACTTATAAACTGGTATCTTTCCTCTGATGCTTTTTTTTTTCCCTGTCGGAACTGAATTGGCTGTTACAACACCTGTGAATCTAAGTGGCTCAAGGCTTTTGTGGGTTTTTTTTGGAGAGCGTTGGGGTGTTCAGTAGTACTTTATTGTTTGATGTGGAACAACCTGTTGTCATGAACAAACCGTCAGTTGTGGAGAGTTCCTAGCTTAAGTGCTGTGCAGTAGAGACAGCAGATAATTTAGTGATTTTAATATTTGGTTTGATTTCTAGCTAGATGAAGAGCTCTCAGGAGTTATTGAGGTAGTCGGAAAAGTAACAAATCAGGCAACCATCATGTGTGCATCATATGTCCAGTTCAGAGAAGATAAAAGTCCATTTGGTAAGTAAGAATATACATTATGACAAATCAATTTTGTATTCTGAACTCTTCTTCAATAAGTAAGAAGGGAGAGCCTGATTGATTACCTTTTCTGGTGGACAAAGTCTTTCTTCAAGCTGCCAGATATGGAGTAGAATGTAGAAAAGGAGAGTGTCATGGGAAAAATTCTGTACAAAATGTACTGGTTTACTATCAAACTGTAGGGACCGACAAACCTGGAGCCAGTCTAGATCATGGTCTGGTGATTCTCCCACTCCCAAATGTGTGGTTCTTTGCCTTGTGCTGGACCTTGTATGATTGTGCATCTAGCAGGCCTAAAAATAACCCTCCAGAAAGCAAGCAAGGAGAATGTGGCTGCCTTGGGAAGATTGGGGAGGATGAGGGAGACTGGGAACACTCAGCTATACTGCTTTAAAATAAGCAGTGCTTTAATGTTGTCATTTGCTTGTCAGGAATTCAGCTTACACATCATAGCCGTTTTCTTTGTCCTCTTTCAGATCTGGAACTCTACAATGAAGCACTAAAAATTATTCATGAATTCCGTGAATACTTCCCATTCGGTACTGTGAGGAACAATTGATTTTTCTTAGCATATATTTAGAGCTTCGGGGGGACAATAGTACCATCGCTTTCTTGCCTGACAGCATGGTAACAGTTGCATCTATTTCCACAAATATAACGAAAAGATGCTGTTACATATGCTATGTATGGCCAGTGAAGAATGTTTTCTTTGAAAATTAATTTATGCAGCAAGACAGAGAACACTTCTATGGGTATCTCACTGTCTGTATATATTTAACCCTTCTGCATCCATGAGGAGTGTTCTCTTGCAGGATTGGACTTGCTACAAGCTGAAGTTTTGTAGGCATCTTTTTATTGTTGTTGGTAGTAGTTCTAGGATACTTTACATAAAACTCGTATTGAAGACATTTGGTGGGGTTTTAATATAAAGATTTTTTTTAAATTTCATTTGCTTTGATAAAACTTACTGAACATGGGGAGGGTATTTTGCATCTTGAAAATAGTCTCTTCTCCAATAAAAAAGATCTCACTGCATTTAACTATTTGTGTCAGTATTACATGTTAGAGCGCTGTTTTCAGTGATACAGGGTGACCTGCATTCTATTTTACCTGACACAGGTAATTTAACAAAGTGGAGTACAAAGTACTTGCCCTTTGAACTGATGTTAAACACTTGGAAGATGTTTAGTTAGGCTTGGGGATTTCAAGCACTGTTGAGTTCCCATCACAACCTTCATTCTTGGTGGGAGTCTAAGCAGAAGTACCAGATTCAGCCAGTACGTCATTATGACTTTAACTATATAAATTTGCACGCAATTCCTATTTTTGTTACTGTCCAGGCTACTTCCAGCATGTAGGAGAATTCTTACATCTCTTAAGGTAAAATCTAACTTTCAAAATATCCTCTGTGAATTAATAAATAAAATATTTTGAAGTACTTTAAATAAACCTTGTTTATAGCCATCTTCATTAACCTTTCATACAAATGCGTTTCAGGTTTAATGGCTAGATGTAGTGCCTTATTAAGATTGCTAGCTGTGTCCTTATTTATAGGCATCGCCATTTTAAGTCAAGGAATTTCTTTGTTTTAAAGCCTTCTTATTCATCAAAGTTAGTACAAACTGGGTGGATGATCAAGTTAAGAGGTGATCTATTTTTTCCACCTGTACTTAGAAGACAGTGACACAGTGATTGTCACAGGGAAGGAGGAGGACTTGTGAAGTGTGAGTCAGTCTCATACAGCAAACAAGAACATTAAGTCAATGTGGCATACCATGTCCTGTCTTGTAGTGCTGTCACTACTATATTGTAGTGCTTAACAATATTCAGTAAGATAAAATGACATTGTTAATAACTGCATGTTTGTTTTCATAGCATATTAGTCTTTTGTATTATTGCACTTTAGAAAACTGGTATTTTGTGCATGTATATATGTTATGTACAAATAGTTCTTGGTTACCAAGACTATCCAGACATAGTAAAATAGTCTACCAGCAGCTGGCTGTATCCCTTTACCCCCACACAGAGACCATCCTTGGATACATGGTCCTGTGTGTAAATATAGGAACACATCTGAGCAGGAAATGCTACAGTTTCCCTTTTGTCAGTAAGACTCCTGTTTATCCAGTCCTGCTGCGATGGTACGGGGCTAGGCAAGCAGGATACAAGTAAAATTTTCCACTATGTGCTTTTCGTTCATCTGCTCCTCCAGACTGTATCAAGGTTTGTGAATAAATGTCCTGCCCTGGCTATATGGTTATACTAACAAGACAGCAATGCAAGGAAGTGTAAAATATTCTTGATATTAAGGGAAAAGTAATGCTTGGGTCATACATGCACTTAGCAGGATGACAATGTGGGAAACTGTCGGACATTACAGATAACCAAGGGAAAGGAGTAACGAGGGGCCTGCTAACCCTCAGTTAGGACTGCACTAACAAGATAAAGGTGTGAGAATCTGCCAGACTTTGCAGATAATAATAAGGGAAATAGTGATCTTATGGGTTGCTGACAAAAGGGGAGTCACCAGGGCAACCATATTATAAACACCAAAGAGGGATGTCACCAAAACCAGGGTGAGCAGCAGGGCCAGTAGTGGCAGGTGTGAACAGAAGCTGGTGGCTTCTTTAGGAGGATGTTGGGGTGGTAAAGGGTGGGAACCTGAGAGAGGAAAGGGGGATATGAAGTGAATGATGTCATGGGGGCTGACCAGGAGAGGTTCCCGTCACTTGGAGCTGGACAGTAAGCCCCCTGCTACCACCACTACCACCACCCACTGACTTCTGGGACCTGGCACCTTTCTCCCTGCCCTTGCTAAGGGAATGTTAGGAAGGGTGCTCCAAACATCGACATGGGAACACTATCACCTTGCGTCCTCCTGTAACATCGGACATAGTTGGCAGGATCCTAAACTAAATAAACGTTATATACGGAAAAAATAAATCTGGTAGAGAAGGGGCATCTAGCAGAGGCACAGAGAAGCATGGATTGGGAAGGAGAGCTGTTGGACAGGTGGCAAAGGGATTGAGCAGGTCCCAAACTGGGCTCCCTTGGCTGCAGGGGAGGTTAGGCTTTAGCAGAACCTGGTTACCAAGCATTTCAAAAACAAGAGGCAGCTTCAGGCTGCCTGCCTTGGTGCAGGGCTGGTAGGTGGTCCAGTCTTCACAAAAGACTGTTCTGAACCTGGACAACTATGTTTTGAGAAACAATTCTTAAACCATCAGTCTGTTTTAGCTGTCCAGCAGTCTGAACTGCAAATAAAAACCATGAAACAGGTGATGGGAGAGTTTTAGTTAGGAAACTTACACATGGGGGGAAGGAAACCCTGCGCTTTGGGAGGGCAATGGCACAAATGCATCCCACCAGCCCTTGTGTGTAGTCATAAGACATTGCCACTCTAACAAGGGCTGTGCAGCAATCCACGTGCTCCCACTTTCTCCAGCCCAACTTCTCCTTGACAAGTCCAGCGGACATAAAAATCAGCTGGTGGTTAAGTCACTTCTGCTCAAAGCCCTGTAAGCAGTGGGACAGAAGGACTTGGGTAAGAAAGCTGGGAGCAGCCCTCCTTGTGGGCCAGCCAGCTACTGTGACTTCCCTCTGCTCTGACTGCCCAGAGGGGGAACGGCTTTATGTCCCAGTTGGTTGAAGTACAGAAAGCAGTCTCTGAGTCTGAAATGGAGGAACAGAATAAAATTTGTCAAATTCTCGGGGAAATTCAGTTCTCATAGGGATCCTGAGGGAGGCCACGAGAATGCAGCTTTCAGTGAAGCGCCGAGCAGGAACCCAGGGCTGCACGTGGGAGGCTGGGAGAAGCCCTGTCAGAGGAGTCACTGCAGCCCTGTCTGGCCAGCGCTGGACTCTGGGCTGTGCCTGGTCACCATCGCCAGACCTGCTCTGCTGTCCTTGCTTGAGCATGGACACGCACAAAACTCACGTTGTTCTCATCTTCAAGCAGTCTGTGCATACAATGGGAAAGCGCTTGTGCACTGCTCGCACATATAATGAAACAAAAATAACATAATGTAATCAGCATGAACCATAAGGCCAAAACATTTTAGCATGCAAGGCCACCTTCCTCTAGTTAACTCTATCAGAGTCGAGCAGATATCAGAAAACAATCAAAGTAATTACAGCTAATAAAACTTACAAATCCTCATTTCCATAAAACAGAAGTTTTATTGCCTGTATTTATATAAATGGGTATGATACATTAAACCCCAGCTTACATTTAAAAATGGGAACATTTTGAAGAGCTCTTTAACAGCAACATAAAGTGTGCAAAAATACTGGAAAGATAAATAAATATTCTAACAAGAAAAAAAAGTAACCACTTTCCCATGCCTACAAATATCAAGTACCTCTTAGATTTTTAACTTAAAACAGATCTTTGTCAATTAGGTAAGAAAATTTAGATCAGAATAAACGTAGCAGATGTATTACAACATTAATGCTAAATCAGAAAATATAACCTTAAGTCCTGAATGTAATCATGTACATCTACAGAAAACATTTCCACATTCTATCTTGTTGCAACTACACTAGAGCACTTAGAAGTAATGGTATATTACAATATAATCTCTTTTAAAACACAAGTTTTCACAGTCCTGGCAATAAGGTACCAGTTTATTGCTAGCATTCCACTTAGTATTTCACAGCACGCAAGTGTTAATTATCTCATATCTCAGTATATGAGATACTGTTTCTACCAGTAAATAAACACACACCAAGTAAACTGATGTTATTATCACATACCTTAAAACAGGTTTTTTTTTCCCTAATTTGTGTTAATTTTGTTGCCTACAAAATCAAGGACAACAATACCAATTGTCTTCTAGCACACTATTAGCAAAAGCTCATTGACTGTTTCTCAAATTAATAAGTAACCTTAATTCCAGCCGGTAACACATCTAGAACTACTTCTGGTCAATGACTTAAAATTTTATAGCCTTTTAGGAGCAGACTAGTGTCCACTAGTGACCAGAAGCAGGATTTATACAGGTTGGTTTCATACCTCCCAGCATATTTCGTTAAGTACAAGAAAATGCTGATTATCCAAAAGTCTTCAAATATTTTTGTAGTCAAAACTCAGCATGTAACTTAAAACTTTAATATTTACAAGTCTCCAGTCCTTGAGATTTCAGATCTTCACAGTACCATATTAAAAATTACTCAATCAAATGAAACCTCCTATAGTTTAACTGCACTCTGCACTGAAACAGACACATGACTTCTCAGGGAACTCTTCTCTAGGATACAGATGTCGCTAGGAGACAAAATCCCCAAATTCTTTAGCATTAAAATTCACATCAGCTAGGTATGTAGGTAAATTAAATAAGACCTTGAATTGCGAAGATATTGCTTTACTATTAACAAAACTTGGGAACAGAAAGAAATGGATTTTTCTTTAAAATAAAAATCTTTAGAATACAATTAACAGTGGCACTTGAAAGACCTTACAAGGAAATGACTGTTTGCATACAAGAGTGTGATCAAACAATGAAGGAGGAACCCACAGCATCACTTTGCGATCTTCTGAAGAACACTTTTCAAGTGTTTATT